ACGAAAATGCTTTTTATGGTTTTAGTTCATTTTAATTGCTCTACTATTTTATTAGATCAAGTTAAACTTATGGTATTCTCATTTTCATTAAGTTTAACTTGATCCACTAAAATAGCTAAAACAAACAAACAAATAAATAAAAACAATATAGACATTTTTAGCCCATTATTTAATGTCATGAGATAAAGGTTATTATCAGGACAAACTCTTAAGGACTTGTTTTATAAGATGGACCCAGAAAAACTTTTACAATTTCTTTCAAATGTAAATTTAAAGAATCTTTCATAGAATTTAATGTACTAAAGTTTGTTATATAATTGCTTTATTTAATTTTTGTATTTTGTATTGTGTACTACTGTATTGTTTTTCTAATGTATAATCTTTTTTGCCATGAAATATCATGTGAAGCTGATGTGGCAATAAGCTAAAATCAAGTCAAAAAAGTATAGACATTTAAAAAACATCATGATTTTATAGTTCACTTAAACTAAATAAAAAAACAGCTTAATTTTATTTACTCAAACTGAGCAAAAATATGGATTTGCTTCAGATGCTGATATTTATATGAGATTCTGCTGCTTGTAATGTAAATCAGTGAGATCTTTCTAACAGTGCAGCAGATACTGACATAAAATGATCTAAATATCAGTGGTCGCTCTATATCTCCAGTAACATGTCTCAGTAAGATGAGATTGAAATGCTCCAAACATATAATGCAGTGATTGAGAGCTGAAGAAATAAAGGCTCCTCAGAAGATGTGAGATGTTCTGGAAGCTTGTGAAGATCATTCCTCCGCTGAGGAACAGTGAAAGTAAAGCTTCTGGAAACAAACGCTCCTCAAAAGATCCTGAGGATCAGATTTGAGACTCTAAAACATGATTGATGGAGAATCAAGTAAAGCTGAGCTGCTTCAGTCCAGTAAGAGTTCATCTGGAGATATTACTGCAGTTATTCTGACGCTTACTTGATCAAAATCAGTCCAGATCTGACAGCAGAAAGACACGAGAATACATGTTTCAATGACCTTTTACTGGATAAAAACTCAGTCAAAATCAGAAGACAGAAGACATGAGGAGATTGTGAGTGAAACAGCAAAGTTTTGATCTTTTCGAGGTGTTTTGTGTATTGATAAGGTTGTGTTTGTGTGTTTCAGTGCGTAAGTCGGTGCGTAAGTCGACGAGCGAGCACACGCGGCAGACGAACGAGCGTCTGCAGGAGCGTCAGCTGGAGGCACCGCGCAAGAGGAGAGGAGCTCTGAGCGAACGAGTGCTGACACAAGACGAGCTGCTCGCCGAGGCCAAACTCACCGCCGAGAGCAACCTGAGATCACTGGGTAACACACACTCACTCACTCACTCACTCACACACACACACAC